GACCTTTAGAGCTTAATCTTATGTTGTTCTCTTAGAGAAGTAATAAATAGATCTTAGTAACCTACAGGAGGTTGTAAGTTAGCTCTCCTATTACTAACTTTTTAATAATCCTTTAAAACATAGTTTAACCCTAATCTAGTAAGATCCTAGTAGATAGAGCTTTAAGATAATCCTATACTATAAGCTATCCTTTAATATTAGGAACGTTGTATACCTTAGCTCGCGTATATAGGATTATCCACTCCTTCTACTAGTAATTAGCGTCTTATCTACTTATCTTTACCTTAGCAAGATAAGCTTTGTACTGCAATCTTGCTAGTGTTGCAGCACTTAAATTAGTTAGCACTAGGTTATTGCGGAGCACTTAGATAAGTGCTTAGAGGGTTACTCTTCCTTAATTAATAAGCTCTATATAGGCTAGGGTAAGGATCCCTTAATCTACTATATTGTTAACCTATATAAAAAGGTTCTAGATTACTAATAACTTTAATACCTAATCTAATAAGCAGGCTTAGTACTAAGCTATTTTAAGTTTGTACTGCTTGCTTGTTATATTAGATAGCGCGATATCTGTTAGCATGTTAGGCTTAATAGGTCTATTCTTAAAGTGGTTTTTAGCATCCTAAGCCTTAGGGTCTACCTCTGCCTAGATCCCTTTAGTTAGGGCATAGTATCTAAATTAAATGTACTAGGTAGGCTAGTTAGTTAATCTAGTATAGTAGGATATCCCCCTTTAGGATTTAGTCGCTTATAGTAGAAGAGTAATAAGTAAGCTTCTACTTAAGAAATAGTATAAAGAAAGAGTAAAGCTTGCTAGCTTAGTGTCCAAGTTAAATAATACGCTTAAATAGATAGGATAATCTTTAATAAGGTAAAGCGCGAACCAGGCTTATAACTGTAGAAATTTAGATTACTAAGGTTAGGAATAATTTAGGAGATAGATTATTAGATTATATCTACTACGATCGTACTTATATATATAGAGCTTTAGCTACCCTTACTAGAAGGTGAATGATTAGTAAACCTTCCTTACTAGAGCTCCTGCTTTTTATTAGGCACTTGGCAGTAAGCTGGCAGTTGATCAGATAGTGGGTTATACAGGGGTATTGATTAGGGTTAATTGGATCAAGATGCTCCGTGATCCGGTTGATATCCCTCCTGCAACAGATACTTACTATTATCTAAAAGTAGGATTAGCGCTATTACTAAGTATAGAGATATTTAGCGTCTTTTTAGACTATCTCTTAGCTTTTATAGTATATACTATAGAGTTTAATATAAAAGCTAAAAACTAGCTAGATTAGGTAGTTCCCTATATCTTTTTATAGAGAGAGGTATTATATAACTAATTAGTAAGTTACTTTACTTATTCCTCTAACCTCTCTTTTTTAGATAAGGTTAATATATATATATCTTTAAAAGAGGTATTACTTTAAGATTTTATAGAAGTATAAGGTACTTTAAGAGCTAGGTAAGAAGTAGGTCTTTCCAGGAGGGCGTTATTAATTAAGTCTTCCTTATCTAATTTCTTTCTCTTAGTAAATAAACTTTTAAAAGTAGCTAAACTAGATATTCTTTTTTTATATTTATCTAATATTTTTATAATTAATAAAAATAATAAATCTTTTTTTTAGGGGGTTAGTTATAAAAGGATATTAGCTTTAACTCTAATTCTTCTAGGCTTTTAGTAGTCTCTAAGTCTCTACCTTAATATAATCTAACGCGATTTTTCTAAAGGTAATCTAGCACTACCTAGTAGTCTAGAAGTCTAAGCCTATAGGCTTTAGTTACTAGAAGTTCTAATAGCTATTCTAACTATAGAGTTATAAGGTTAGACTACTACTAGAACTAAATTAGGAGCTTAAAATAATAATAAATATAATATTCTTAAATACTATTACTAGCTAGTATAATATTCTTTTTATAATAGAATAAATTAGGTAGGTAGGGTATCTAAACGTTTTCCTATATAACTTAAGGGTATATAAAAGTGCGCGTCTATATAAAAAAGGATAAAATTCCTATACCTATAGATCTTATATAAAAGGATAAGAAGAATATACCTATCCTAATATAGGTAAGCTACTCTTTATATATATTAGTAAGTTAGGCCTTTATTAGGGCTAACTTAGCATAGAATAATAGGCGTTGTAACTCTGCCTTATTGTTACAAGGCCTAATATAAGATAGATAAAGTCTAACACTACTACTAAGCGAACACGCTACACACCTATAAAACGGCGTAGAGGGCTTACCTCTCCTTTAAGATACTAAATACTATTATTAACGCTTATTATATTCTCTCTTAAGGCTAGTCTATAATAACGCTTACGTGCACTATCCTTAAAGTATAGTGCTATAGCGCGCTAGACTATAGGTAATAACTAGGACTAAATATATATAAACCTTGCCTCTTTATCCCTAATAAAGACCTTATCTAGATATAGTTTAAATTCTATAGTTATTTACTAGAAGGAGAAGTTTACCTTTATACTATTATATAGCACGCTAACTAGGAAAGGTTTATAATATAAGGTAGAGGGGGGTAGAGGTAGTAGGTTATTAAAACTAGTAGGCTTAAAGGGGGGTTAGAGTAGAATCTAATTATATATTTCCTTATTCTACTAACGTAGTATAGCTATTATAGTAGAGTCTTAAGCCTATTATTCTATTAATCTATTAACCTACTATATTAGCCTTTCTACTATATTAGGTTATACCTAATTATTCTAAATATCTAGCGTGTCTATCTCTATTACTATTATAGTATATTTAGAAGAAGATACTAAAATATTATAGACTAGCCTTAAGGGAGAATATAATAAGCGTTAATAATAGTATTTAGTATCTTAAAGGAGTAGTAAGCCCTCTACGCCTTTTTATAGGTGTGTAGCGTGTTTACTTAGTAGTAGTGTTAGACTCTGTCTATCTTGTGTTAGGCCTAGGCTTAGGTATAAGCCTAAGCCCTTCACACTTTATACCGTTTAACCTGCCTAATCTTTAGGCTAAGCCTTGTTTTCTCCTATACCCCCTATGCTATAGTACACTATTACTAGTACTATTATATATAATCCCTAAAGCTACTATTGTATAGGTTACTTTAAGTATCTAAGTAGTATTAGATACCTTAAGGCCTTCTAAACCCTAAGGATCTTGCTTAAACCTAATTAATATTAAAGATCTACGTAATAATACTACTTTAACTATAGTGGACTATAAATTATATCTACTAAGAAAGCCTTTAGGATTAAAAGAGCTACGCTTTAGATAATATTAATTATATAAATAATAACTATAAACTAGCGCCTAGAAGTAACATATTTGTTATAGTAGAGAATGATTATAACATTTAAGATACTAGGTATACTACTACTATATAGCAACGACGCTAAGATAGAGGCTCTTTATAGAGAAAGATGCGCAAAGAATCATGCCTTAACTAGGAAGCAAGCGACTATAGTCACCTAATCAAGGCCTGTCAGGCAATTATCTTAGCACCTTTCGTGAACTTTGTAAGTGCATTAACTGTAGATGTTAGTAAGCTATCTACATGCCTTTAAATCCTCTCCTTAAAGAGCTTTAACTGCGTGTGATCTAAATTGCGAGGTATAGCTTCGGGTTTAGGCCTGCTAGGGCGCGTCTTGAATAATAGGTAATAGTAGAGTATAGAGGCAGACATCAAGCTTTAATATTATAGCCTCTAGGTGAAATAGAACTAAGCCTGCG